CAGCATAGCTCCTAGGATCATTGGGACACTCAAACCCCTTCACCACGATAAGGTGGCAGCCCCAGGAGAGGGCCAATTTAATAATTCAGATCTAATGCGTTTTGGAATATATTATTGACATTTTACAAATTTCACAAATCAATAGGTTTCACAAATGTTTTATTTATTCTGCTGTTAGTACAGAATAATATAGTCAGGTTTGAAATGACTAGGTGTTGTAGTTTTTAAAGTACAACACATTAAAAAAGCTCAAGATAGTGAAAAATTAAGAGTAATTGCAACTTTAGCTATTTTCCGAATTAGATGCTACATTCGGAAGCTAACTTCAGCTTCGACTGACAGCTTGGGCATAATATAGACAGGTTTATATATGTTTATATAGATATATATCTATATTTATAAAGCATAGATATGTAGATTACACACTGCAGAGATAATCAAAACACTTAACGTTTACATAGCACCTTTATGAGCTTGTCCCTGTTAGCTACGTTAGACATATGAGGCATTATGGTGAATACAAACGATTTTTTAACTTACCTTCGAAGTTATTGTGAAGTTTTGACACATCCAGCTTAAATCCTTTGTTTTTGTTGGAGTGTTTCAGGACGTCTGAATAATTATACAGGCATCATTAATAGTCCTGCAGCGACTGAGGAGCCACTGTACACGTACTGTTGCCTGTGCACCGGAAGCAGTCTATGTGGCAAAAAAATGCGGAAGTGCTAAAACGGAAGTCCATGGCATATACCCCATTTAATAGAAAACACTCAGTACATTCTGATCACATCACTACGTCATCATGGGACTCCCTCCTGGTGCGCCACAATCCGGAAACAACCCTGCTTGAAAATAGAACCGGGAAAATGTTTGGAAATGAAAACAACAGGTTAGGATGGATATGTTAACTGAAGCAGGAACACCGCGTGTGCACCCACGATGAAACACGTCAGTTTAAGGTGCAACAAAAAGTAAGTTAGCGATTGTGTATGCTCGTATGTATGTGTGTGTGGGCGTACTCGCATGCTGACACGGACTCATAATTAAGTCCCGGTGTTGCGTCAACCGCGTTTCCCCATCAGATAAGGTTCCCCTTTGTTAAGAGAGGAAAAATTCTTGAACTTTAAAAACCTTTTGACTCGTTAAAT